AACATCCCATAGGATAATCGTCTTCAACAGAAAAGTTTATACCGAAGGTAGAATGTTTCGAAAAAACGTGGACTTTCATTTTTGATGTTCGTAAAAGACAATCTGTATTTACGGTTTGCAAAGAATATGCATGAAAATACATTACTCAACCGGTGATCTCAATGTTGAAGTCTTCAAGGGAAATTGAGAAATAATGAAGTATAAAACCTTCTCTGGATTTATCTGACTCAAAATAGTGATCATTGCCGGGCTATTGTTACGGTAATTAAACTTTGAACTTGTTGAGCGACTATCAGTTTATCAAGAGGGGAGTTTAGTTCTCTTCTCTAAACTTCCCGGATCTGATTTAACTCAAAATATACCCCAAAAAAAACATAAGTAGCTCAGGGTGATGTAGGCTACCGAATTTCAGCTGTAAAGTCTCAGTTTATGTCAGTGTGTGGTCACAGACAGACTCCAGACTTGTCTTGAGATTTGAATCTGTGCAGACTTACCTTGGAATAATTCACTATTTGTATGACCGCCTTCAAAGAAAGCTTTGTCACAGATCCTGCTTGACTAATCACGTGGTAATATATTTTTTTACATACTATAATCGACTCGATCAAATCCTGTGTGCATTCAGGTGAGATCAGACATGTTAAAATAAATAATACAGTAGCTTACATGTTATTCATATTGATATTAATACACAATGTAGAATTCACGTCTGTGGTTAACTGAACAACAAATGACTCAACGCTAAAATATTAATGACAATTTATCTGTGTGGAATTGGGTCACATAACATAATTATGTCCTTCTATGGAACCACAGTTTCTGTTGAATATATTTTGCTAGTCAGCATATCATTTCATTACTGGATTTCATATCTGCCCCATGCCAATTACACTACCGTGATAATTAGAAGGTAATTAACTAATGGATTTGCTGACTCGGCACTCCGACCCCCTCACCACACCGTTAATCAATTCAAGACCTGATACTGAATGCATCGTCATGAATTGTGGTCTCGCGGGCTGTGTGCTTTTTCACATCTCTGACTGAAGAGAGATCTCCCTAGGACTGTGGGGCGGGGAGTCTGATTCAGACATTTTTCAGAGACGCACAGAGAGAGATTCTCTCACTCCGGGTGCATGGTGACACACGTAATCCGGTGGGAGACGAGACGGTTTAGAAGTACTCTCGCCTTGATTAATATCATCTTGTCGGTGGTTGATACGACTGAAATAAATAGCTTGTGTGTACTGATATTTTAAAGCGATTTATGAACCTGTGGTGATTCGGACGACCGAGGTAAAATGGCGGGAATGTTTTCACCAACTACTTCCGTCTAGTGCCAAAGTTAAGAGTGCGTGGAGCTGTACCTCCATAACCACGTAATTAGGCGTTCTTGATTGAGTCTTCGTTTCTTTAGAAGGAAGAAATTCGATTGTGTTTTGTTATCATTAACGTGATAATGATATGAAGCTTTCACGGCGAAGAATTGATTATATTAAGGTGACGAATGGTGACGAATAAGTTTTTCGCCGTCTAGTATTATGTTACTCCAGGGTTTTCCCTGATTGATTCCAAAGTGAAGTGTAGGAATGACTGATTTTTAGGATGGAATAGAACGACCTTCTCTCGATTCCTTGGTACCCTTGACTTGTTACAGAAGGGAAGTGAGAGTCCAGCTTGGTTACTGCGATCGAGTGGTTAGCATTTCTGTTTTGTATTATGGAAGTCCCGGGTTCAAATATGGGGATCTACTCTGGTTGAAAATTTTCATGGTCTTACTCAGTCGCTCTACTTACCCGTCTGGATTGTTTATTAAATTAGGTCACGTCCGCTTCCTTTCAAATCCTTTCTTATTCATTAGTCAGTACTCTCCCTGTCATTCTGCGCTGTACGTCTTTTGTCTGAGATTCTGTCAAATAGAACGTAAACAGACAATAGATAAGCTTTGAATATTAGAGTGCTTGTGAAATGAATCTTTTTCTGTGAAGTTACTTAACTGAACACTTGAGTATCTGTGCCTCTTCAAAAATGAAACAAATTACGATACAAATAAAAGCAGGTAGAGAAGTCATCGGTGTGGAAAATGTTAAATCATGGGTTAGTGTTTATGGATGTATAGCCTTGTTCAAATAAAATATGTCTTAATTCTACTCAAATAGAAACAGGCAATATTAATTTTTATTACAGTAACAATACTAAGGGAATTTCAACCCTTCGTGGACGTGTTCAGCCGTTCCAAAAGTTCCCAAAATAATTGCACGAGAGAGAACGTTTGAGAAATTAGTCCATAAATCGTATTACATTTCTGGGCGGTATTGTTGACAGTGTGAATCAGGTGCTGTAGACTAACTTGTTAATGTTGTTTTGGTTCGTCAGTGAGCGCCCAAGCGGAAAACCAAGAAAAAATCGCTAAGTGTCTAATCAAGCTGCGAGTACACGATGGATCTCGTAGCGGGAGATCTTTATCTCCACTTCCATCCCCCTCACCCCTTTTCTCAGCAGAGATCTGTGAAGCTGTAACGCTTCTCGTTGACATAACTTCAGCAAAACTAAACCTCCGGTTGGGTTCCTCGAACAGGTAAGATGGTGGCGCTCCGACCAGAGCTGGGACGGCTCGCGGTAACGCGAAGGACGTGCTGAAGATTGAGGTACACATCGCGGCAAAGGGACCCTTATTCAAACCAGTGTCCAGAAACAAGAACAAGGAGATTGTAATTTTGTAGTAAAACGTGTAAAAATAAAATAGGAACATCGTACAGAAAAATAATAAATTGTGAAAATAAAACACATTTAAGAATTTTACCAAAATATTTAGATGAATTTTGACACACGTGGGAAAACAAGGCGAAGAAAATAAAATTATTGTGTGTGTATGGAAGAGACGGTACGCCATAAAATGAATAATTAATCTGTGATCACTCTCACACTAACTTCCATTTGTAATTGAACTCAACTCAGATTTTAATTCATTTCATGTTAGTGAATAGTACATGATGTAGTATTCATTATTCCCTGATAAAATCATTTAATAATTTCAAACTGCTGTACAGACGGGTGATGTCGAACCTGTCCCTCGATGGTTACCATGAAAGCAGTGTTTATGCATTTGATGTCGAGCTGAAATGTTAAAGTCTTGATGTATCTTAACCTTGTAGCCCTGTCTCTCAGTGCGAGAATCTCGTCACTCGAGCTGCATTCTACTTCGAACTTAGGTCAGCTGATAGACTCAGGGTCTTTATCTTTGTCCACAGCTGAGAGGAAAACGTCGCTGGGTAAGGATTGGCACAGCGCCTGCTTGCGATGTGAGAAGTGCAACAAAACCCTGACCCCTGGCAACCACGCCGAACACGAGGGCAAGCCGTACTGCCACCAGCCTTGCTACTCCTCGTTGTTCGGACCTGGTGGTTAGTATACATCGCCCTGTAAAATCAGCTTCTTCACTAATATTAAGTGTTTAATTTTGTCACAGGTCGACATGATACGAAAAGGTGTTTCGACTTAAAATGATGTGTGGGAGGGTTCAGTCAGATTTAGGTGCTCTATTTCAGTGGTATTCAACCTGGGGTACGCGAAGACATCTTAGGTGGTACGTGAAATTTAAAAATATATATATTATTTTATGATAAACAATGAATAATCAGTAATGTAATTTATTTAATTTATTTTAGATGTAGATTATATACTATGTATAACTTGAATTATACACCAACAACTTTGGGGGGTACAAAGTTGAAGAGAAATTATATCTGGGGGTACGAGAACAAAAAAGGTTGAATACCACTGCTCTATTTCACCGCCTGATATTGAATATTAGGTGTTTAATTATATCAGAAGCCAAATGCGACCTGTACACAACAGCGATCCCGCAAAAAATTACACGTGAAGATTCACTAAAACTTAGATGTCGCCTTTCATCTTATTCTGAGGTCAAGAAACTATGAAACTTTTTCTTGACACCCCTAAAAACCTTGTAAGGAGAAAGACCAGACATCTTGTCATGCTTCTAAGTGGCCGTTTGCGCATGTTAGAATGACTCCCTGAGCAGATGGTAGCCAACGCGAAAGCTCGTCTACTGTGTTCATAAGAACCCTCCGCACCGATGGTAATTATCCCTAACCAGATGAATCCAGTGCACACGTACTCACGTTCTTCGAGAACCATTCTAATATTATCCTTCCTCCTACTCCAAGGTGTTCCAACCCAAGTGGGATCTTCCCTTCAGATTATCCGACCCTTTCCTCCTTCTACATTAGATTTCTCGTCTATCCCATTTTATCCTTTATCACCTTTATAATATTTGACGAAGGGCACAAATGGACGGGCGCCCGGAGATCGGCTATCCTGGCTGAAAGTTAATGGTTTTACTCAGCCCCTCCAGTCCAATTCTGTCATAATACTTTAAATTGGGTCACGACCACTTCCATTGATATCCTTACCATTTAATTGTTCATTACTTGTCCTATTATCGGACGCCATGTAAAATGAGCTACTGGCAGCGTTGTTGCGTCTGCCACAAGAAAGTAAATGCAAGGGGGAGACTTGGCTGTTTGTGTAGCGGGCAGCTTTTTTAACGCCTTAACGTTGAATTGTTTGTGTTGCTGCGTGTTCACCTGCCATCGCTCCATGAGGTGTGCGATAGCCCCCTACCAAGCAACAGATTATCACTCCCTCGGTCAGAATTTACGGGCTACATCTGTGACCCAACACTTGGCTGGTGTCCCAGTGGAAGGCGACTTAAAATTTGCTCTGTGCTTCTGTTCCAGGCTTTGGACGCGGTGGAGCGGAAAGTTACGTGTATAAGAAGTAAAACAGAAGATTTCCGAGACTGGACTTCTGACCTCCGTTTGATTTTTCCACCTTCATATCCAACCCATAAATCAATATTCAACGTGTAAAAAAAACTATACTTTAGCTTGTCACAAATTTTCAAGTTGTCGGCTGAAATGTGTGTTCAAAATCTATGTTTTCAAAGCTTAGGCGTGACATTGAATAACACGCTTTATAAGTATGAATAATTATTCAACATGTTAAAAAAATAGTAATGTTGTCCAATGCAAATTTCCAGGTTCTCAGTTAAATCTGATTCAAAATCTGTATTTCGAAACACTTACCTATTCGTATGTTTGTTTGTGATGACATAAATCACTGCTATAAGAAGATGTCTGTGGATCTACAACAAATATCCGAGGAACTGGAAGTTTTATAAATTCTGCTTTTATTGTAATCTGCTTTGCGTCTAATTTCTGTCCTACAAGATTTTGATATCTGCCCTTGTGCTTTGAATTATGACAGTCTGGGCTGTTTCTTAAAAGCGATGTGGTTAGACTGACTTAAACTTTTGAGGAATACATTCACTGATTACTCCGAGGCAGTTATATAACAGTTGTGTATAATTAATGGACTTCTAATTTTTATGATGTATTAAAAACATGGTTGTAACTAAATATTTCCAGAAAGTTTTGTTTTGTCTGACATTTTATACCTAGAGACTAAAGAGATTTACAAATTTACAAATTTTGAAGTTGAACAATATTGAAGAAAATATTTTTCAACTTCAGAAACGTCTTTTGATTGATCTACCAACGAGATTACTGACAGTCAAAGCGATTGGCCAACTGACGGTCAAGGTTATCGTATTTTTCGCCAGTCAGGTGATAAAATTGCGTCTCTTCGCCGTCGGTCTTCCACAGCGAGGAATGGTATTACGGAGGATTTGAGGTTTTCACGGCGATGTGAATGTAAATGGTTCTGGACTGGATGTATGCCAACGTTTCGGAGGAATGTTCAGTCTTCATCTTCTTCAGGTCTGAAGTCAGCAATATCAACATACGAATGCAAATTATGGACCTCTAGAAAAGTGTAATCGTGAGTTCGAATTTCGCTCGGACTATTGATATATTCTGTGCCCGCGGTTTACTATTTTGTCTTGTCCTCTGCAGATAGAGGTTTTGCGTTACGACGACATCCCATCCAAGCGTTCGTACCAGAAAGTCTAAACGGATTTACGTTTTCGAAATTAATTCCTAATCTAATCAGATCAGTCCGCCGAATAATAATATAAAATGAAAAGCAGATGATTGTACTGGGTCTAAATATGTATTTGTTTTGTTTTAACTGAATATTCATTTGACTTCTATCGATTCGAACTGCTGTGTTTCGAAATACTACAGATCTTCGCAGCTTACCGGTATTTTCATAATTTTATAGTAACCGGAATATCAAGAAGCAGTATCTTGAGCCGCTGGTATAGTAGCCAATTAAACTGGATACTTGACTTTTAAATCACGAATTCTCTGCAAGGATCAGAGCCATTCCTGGCCGAGATTGGAGCGCACTCTGAATTATGAATCCGTTCTCTGTCTTTCTCGCTTTCTTTCTGTTTTATTCTACATTGTATCGCGCTGTTGGAGTTCGCGTCGTGTTTGTCTTGTGTTCGTTGATGGTTTCATTACACCCCGCGAGAGCGAGTTAGTGAGGTGGATAAATTATTTCTCGTTAATTAGCAAAATCTTCTTTATGTAACTCCGTGTATATACTTCAGCGTTTCTTTTAAAAGATCTTTCTGATGCTTTAATTTTCTCGCCGATTAGATAGCTTTGCCGGTTACGAGCGCAAAATTAAAGCAAATAAGATGTGCACAAAAAGCTATGTAATAAGAAGGAAGATAGTGGGGGTTGTATGGGTTTTGATCTTTCTCATTTTCTTCAACTCAAGAAGTTTTCAAGGGCTAACTTAAAAAGCAAATAGTCCGTTAAGGATTCGTTTCTTATTCATTAAAATGCTATCAATTAAAATGGCAGCCTCGCGAGGGATAAAGCAGCGTTTAAAGGTCATAGAACAAAGATTCTCGACGACTTATTCATCTGTTACTATTTCACAGAATTGGGAAATTTTTTTTGTTTGTGTCTATTTGGGTTGGCAAAGTGTCTTGACGTTGGTACTGAGTAGTCGTAACTTCCTGCTTGAACAGTTTTGAATTAATTGCAACTTATTAATACATACTTTAGTTTTTGAATGAATCATTTTAAAATAAAACGAGCTGAAGGAAT